ATTTGAGATCCTCTACTCTTCTGCACCATTCTTCATGTGCTGTTATTGCTGGTGTCTGAAAAACCTTCCAGATGCCTTTCAAACTTGCAATCAAAAATTTCTATAAAAGTGATGTTTATGCACAGCACTACATAAAAGCTGAGTAATAATTATACCTGCCAGTTAGGATGATCTAGTTGCATTCACAAGCCCAGACTCATTTAGCAGTGACTTATACTTGCTTTGACTGGCTATAATGAACAGCCTGTGTCATTGTCTACCATAAAATAAAAGGTTGTCTTTTCTGAATATCAGCACGGTAACCTTTTGAGTAGTTTTTTGACTTTCATTTGTACTTCCAGAAATCTGATTTTCTGTGTAAATTATTTTTGGAGTGCTCTGTCTATAATTGTTTGGTTCCATTAACGTGGAATCTTACACCATTTTGATGAGTAGCATTTTGAAAGGGTGTGATACATGGGAGTCAGATTGTCTTGGGCTAAGCTGAAGGGTGGACTGTTCTGTGAAAGGTTAGCCACTGTTGTATGAAAACTAAATGAATTTTGAAACAATGCTTAAAAAACAAGTAATGATTATAATTTAAAATTCTCTAACAGAAAACAGTTTCTGTTAAAGTACTTCAGAGGATTTTTTGTGATACTGTTGAGCTTATCTGTGTCTTAGTTTCTCGAATTTATAATGAAATTATTTCCTTATCTTTGTAAAGTGTAACCAGAGTAAATTTTTGGTAAACGAACCCGTATATTTTACATCATTAATTTACAGAGTTAACCTGGTTTTCCTAATGCTGTTCTAAATGTATTCAACCTTGAAATGAGAAATGGGCCTGGATCTATGTTCTTATAGTTCTACAGTTTTAATCTTGATTTCACAGGAGTAAATGGAGAGTGACATAATTGTACTGCTGTAATTGTACTGGTGAAAAACTGGCACAAGTGAGATCAAAATTCAGACCTATACATCCTCTTTGAGGTTTGAAATCCAAAGGTAAACTTTTTCATTCACATGTTTTTATTTATCTCAGTGTAGAATTTGGGCTTGAAGCTCCACTTGGATTTGAAACTGTGCCTCTTCTTTGCTAGTTAAATGGGATGAGTTGACTCTAGTTAGCCTGATCCAATATAGCTGCTAAACATATTCATGTTTTAGAAAAAGTAGCAAGCTTGAATTTATATTTGTTGAAGCTTTTGACTGTCTTCTGCAGAAGGAAGAAGTAATTATAAGACAGAAGATGCTACCAGAGTTAGGACCATATGGAAAACCAAAGCAAGACTAGTGTAAGGGAGGGTTCATCTTCAAACTGATACCAGATGCAAAGGCTCAACACTGGCTGCTTTGTGGCTTGGCATGCAGGGTGAGAGAGAGTTAACAGATAGCTAGGGAAATACAGTGAATGTGTCCCAAAAGAAAACCTTGCAAAGCAACTTCTTTGTATATTGTGGAAGTCATAATGAAGGAATATATTCCCTTCTGTCTTAATCTTCTGTGATCCTCTCCCTTGTGAATGGAAAGCAGGACCATCTGTGGGGCAATCACGCTTACTTATACGTACCTGGAATTTTTTGGTAATATACACTCTTAGTAAAAATAATCCCAAAGGGTCTTGAGTATCAACTCAGTGTTTGGTCAAAGAGGCAACAGTTTTTAAATATTGAATTCTTGTAGACGTGTGTTATATTTCCTAGGAAGAACAGACACAAATTGTTGCTGGAGTGGGTCCAGAGAAGGGCATCGAGGCTGGTGAAGGGTCTGGAGCACAAGTCCTATGAGGAGCAGCTGAGGGAGCTGGGGTTGTTTAGCCTGGAGAAAACGAGGCTCAAGGGAGACCTTATTATGGAGACCTTATTGGTCTCTACAACTACCTGAAAGGAGGCTGTAACCGGGTGGCGGTTGGCCTCTTCTCCGGGGCAACCAGCAATAGGAAAAGAGGACACAGTCCTTAACTGCACCAGGGGAGGTTTAGGTTGGACATTAGAGAGAAGTTCTTCACTGAAAGAGTGAATAGGCGTTAGAATGGACTGCCCAGGGATGTGGTGGAGTCACTGTCCCTGGAAGTGTTTAATGAAACACTGGATGTGGCATTTAGTGTCATGATTGAGTTTGCATGGTGGTGCTAGGTCATAGGTTGGACTCAGTGATCTCAGAGGTCTTTTGCAACCTAATTGAGTCTGTGATTCTGTGAAACCAGACATCCCAAAATGTTCCTTTTTTTGTGTGGAGAGGTTGAGAAGGGAAGGGATGTTTGCTTTTGGTTGCTGTTATTTTCTGACTGCCTCATTTTATCTCTTCTGGCTCCCTGCATGTAATTGTGATCCAGTTCTGCTCCCTTTGGAATTTATGGCAGGCTTCTCCTTGACAGCAGTGGGTTGGAAGTATTTTTGGCTCTGGACGTTTTAGTTCTAATGTCCTGACAAAATTCCAATACATGTAATTATGTTTTGGCAAACTGAATTCTGCCTTTATTAATTTTAATAATTATTTGTGTTTTCACAGAAACTAGAAATTCTAGTCAGTCATGATGCTAAGAGCTTTACTCTCATTAAGGAATTGTACATGCCCATTGCTCTGGAATTATTTTGCCTGGAAGATGGACACATGGATGATGGCATTCACTTATTGCTTAGAGGGTGAATGGGGTCTTAATTGCAAGTAATCTTTCACAGAAAGCTGTGGAAGCACATTTTCAGGTGTTGCTGTATTGTGCTATGATATGTACTATAGAGATACCTGTGGTAGCCACTAGTTTAGCAATCTGTTTTCCACCGACTCAGGAAATATGTGGATGTACTTATCAATGCAATTTACCTAAAAAAACCCCCACAAACCAAAGAAAAAACCCACAATCAAACATGAGACACTCCCCGCCCTTCTCTACCCACTCCCCCATCCCTCCAGGAAAATAAAAATCTGAACAAACAGAACAAAATGAAAAGGTAGGAGCAAGCATTTAATTTTTGGTGATATGTTACACACTTCACTGTTTAGATTTCTGAACCATTACAAAAAGGAAAATGCTTTTCTGATTTCAGCAGTAAAATTGGGTTTTTTTCTATTGAATGACTAACTGCAAAGTACTGAGTAGAGCTATGGGGAAATTGAGGACTTTATCATTATGAGTTGTCCTTTCTCTTCCATCATAAGGATGTTTCAGACTGCTAAATGAATTTAAAGTGCAAAATTTGCCATGGCTGAGGCTGTTATGAATTGCTGTGCTATTAGCAACCAGGCAACAACCATAGTAACTGCCATTCTTTAGTGATTTTTCTTGAATCTAAGCAAGAGATTTTTTTCTTTTAAACTCATAAATACATAAAGACCACGATCAATATTTTGTTTTTCTAATCTTTTTTTTTTCAAAGCAAACACTCTGTAGGTAATGTTTGTATATCACAGAGATGCTTACTAAGATTGAAAAGCTTAAAATAAGGCAGTGAATTTCCTTCCAGATGAGCAGAAGCCAACCCGCCCTCCTGAACCCTGCATGACTACCTGGGAAGTGTCTTGGCATTTCTGGCCATACTTTCTTAACCATACTTTCAAGGAATGTGATTTATGGGACATGTTGAGCCAGAGCCCTCAGAGAAAGTAGTATTTATAGCAGTATATTCTTTTATGCTGACTGAGCTGAATTAAGCTGAAAAAACTAGGATTGTAAAAAATCAGGTATTTGAATCATTACTGGATGACATGACCTTTTCAATGTAGTTTGTACCTTTTATATTATATTTATATTTATATTTATGCCATACTTAGGATTAGTGTGTATATAGATAGGTAGATAACTATTCTTTTTGTAAATATAATGTTAGAAATGTCCATGTCACAGAGCTTGTGGCACCTGTTCTTGTGTCCTAAACATCACTGGAGACTTGTAATGATACCAGTGTTGCTATGCTACAGAAGTGTTTTTCTGCTAGAGATGTTGCCTTCAGGTGTCACAGGGACACTATCAATAGAAAAAAAATACCTCTAGATAAATAGTTGCTAGTTAGGAATGCAAGCATATGCTAGTAAAAACTGTATGGGGTGTTTATGATTTTATCTAAATAAATATGTTTGCTTGCATGATCATTCTCTCTCTGTCACTAGGGGTAAACTTGATAAAACTTGTGTTGATATGCCTGAATATATATATATATCTTAGGCAGCTGAAGAAATCTGTGTTTAATCCTATCAGAGATTTGAAGGAAGAAACAACTGCTTCTTTGTTAGCTGAGGCTTCTGCAGCTTCTCTTCTTCTGACAGATACGTATGTGAAATGTCCCATATTTTCTCATGCCCATATTGTTGACTGATGAAGGGGTGTATAGTGTACATTCAAAACTCAACAAATAAAGCAGACCAGAACTTTGCAGCTTTGCTTCTTAAAAAAATAAAAATAAGTCCAGTTATTTTAGAAAGTTCTACGAGTGACTTTTATCAATATCCTTTCAAAGAACTCCTCCAGTATTTCCAATAATATTGAGCACAGTTTCAATATAAAAGAAAAACATTTTTATTCATATTCTCATGGTTGAAGTCCTTTGAGCTACATCTTTTTATAGAAATGGAAGATTTGTGTATCTGATAATCCATCTGTCTATGCACATGTGAGTGGTGTATGGGCGTTAGAGAAAAAGATACCTATAATAATGAAATTGCCTGTATCATAGCATATATGCACACATTTCTGACAGATTCTTAATCCTTAGAAATGTTGAAAGCTGAATATTGTTAACATATTTATAGTGCAATATATGATGTTTACTAGATCAAAAATTATTTTACTGAGATGCTTATGTAAGACAAAAGGTAAGGTCTGGATACAGTGCAGAGCTGTATGCATATGTTCACAATAATATATGGTCTTTTTATGTTATCAGCATATTATTAAGCTGAACTGTTTTCTGATTGTATAAACAATGATTATTTATCTGAATATCAAGTATGAATAGAGAGCATGAATTGTACTTGTTATATCTGTATTTGTTAATACTTCCCTCTGCTCTTTTCAATTTAAGGTTGCCTTTGCCTCCTGGAGCATTCTCAGGTCTTTGGGAAAATAAAGAAACATTCCAGAAGTTATATTTCCAAAAATTTCCAGTAAGAATTATGAAATAAATTATATACATTTTTAGTAATTCTGCAGAAGTGAATGATACTAGATTTAACCTGGATAACAGTTTATCATAAATTTTCATATCTTAATTTAATTTAAGATCTTTGATATATATGCATACAATTAAAAGCATTTCAAGGTAAAACTTTTTTCATTTGTAATTTAAGCCCTTAGACATACTGTGGGTTTTTTAAGATCTGAAACAGAAGTAAACCTCAAGCTTCTGAGCCAAAAAGTCATTTTATGTCATTTGATCTAATAAAACATATAAACCTGTGACCTTAGTCTAGGATAGCTTCAAATATACTAATCCTGTTGACATGCAATCATGCTAGCTTGGTATGAGTCCAAACTACACACTTGTCCACTGTGCACCTAAATATATTGGAGGCTCCTTACTTTGTTAGTTATGTTTCCTTGTCAGATGAACTATCCAAGGATTGGCTTCCTCCTTTCCTTGTAGAAATAACTAGATTGGCCCTATACAAATGTTCAGAATGGAAGGTTTGGATCAATAAAAGTAAATGAGTGAATTGGTCAGGCAAATTATTTCCTGTGTGCAGTTGCTTCACGATGATGATGTATGTTTGAATACAGCAAACAGGAATATCTTTAGGACAACTGACAACTGGTTATTATATTGTAACAGTTCCACTCTCCTTGTGTGGATCCAGGCAACATCCTTCTCCAAGCTGTCAGGAATCAAAGTAAGCAGAGTTGGAAGGAAATCCAGGTTTATCTATTGTCTTCTGTTCTGTATTAACAAAGTCTACAAAACCCTTATGGAAAGGGAGCTGCATGACATATTATGACGGAAAAATAGTGAAAAATATTACAGAATTAAATCTTTCAAGCACCAAAAGCGTATTTAATGTGGAAAAGGGATGATTGTTTTTGTTGTCGTTGTTGTTGTTGATTTCATGGTAAATTCATGGGTATTCCTAGTACTCTTTTTGAATTTATTTTTTATTGTGTCATATTTAGGGATATTATGATACTATGGATGCTGGCTATATGGATGAAGATGGCTATTTATATGTCCTGTCTCGAGCTGATGATGTGATCAATGTTGCCGGACACAGAATTTCAGCAGGTGCGATTGAAGAGGTTAGCATTGCTTGACAGGAAAATAGAAGAGTGAAAGTTGAATAGAACAAGCTGAGACTGAAAATCTCACAAAATCTCTCATTTTATTTCTGCTCTTTTTGTTTGCATTTCCATTGGTACTTTTAACCAAAACATTTCCTATTTCATATTCTATTAAGGTGCTTTCCAGAACATAATAAATTTAGTCAGTAATAAGCAGTTTGTACCATGGGGTTGATGAGACAGATGTATGGGAAGCGTAGCTCTTAGCTCTGATAATGTATTTGTTTGGGAATATGTTAAGATAATGTAGAGTCAGCATGCCAAGCAGTTTCACCAACTACTGTACTAACTGAGGAGTAGAAACTTTCATTCCTAAAATATAGTGCTCAGTGTTGGCTGAATTCTTTTCACATAGACTCACATTTCTTGATGAAGACTTTCCTTCACATTTTCATGGCAGCTGTTTTGTCTCTTACTGTATGAGCAGTGCTAAATGAACAATGAAAATGACTGTAAAAAAACCTGCTGTTAAGTTGAAAGTCATTAATGTCATACCTATGCAACTCAAAAAAGTTGAAAATAGTGCAGTTCATAATAGTGTCTGAATTTCATATCATTGTTCACTCACCTCTCTGGAACTGCTGTGATTGATTGCCAGTTACAAATTTCCCTGATGACATATCAGTTGCTTATTCAGGGAGTATAGGAAAAGGTGTACTGGGCATGTACAAGATAAAAATACACTTATAAGAACTGTGAATTTAACTGTTCACTGAATCAAAAACTAGTAATTTTTCTGTTTGTAGTGTCTGTTAGGCTAGCGACTATGTTTTTTAAAGGCTAGGAAACTTAGAATAGAAGAAATTCTGATTACACAGAAGTGAACAAGTTCAGATAAATACAGTCAATCCATTGAGAACTGGTCAGCGAGGGAGCTGAACGAGCTGCTGCCCTGACTCACATAAAGGTGGCTTTTAGTCTGCTTAAGCCTCTTTCTCTTAAAAGTCATGGTTTTGTATTGCCCTGCTAGAGTGCAGCAGGGAATCTCAGTCCCTCAGGGTCTGAGCTGGACATTGTTTCTTTGCTTCAACCTTAATCTGAAACTACTATAACAAATGATAAATTGAATCACGTCCTCTGTTGTATTACCTTTGTATCCATCATACCAAGCTCAGTGTCTGTTTGTCTGCCTGCTAGTTAGGTCTTTCCCCTAGAAACATAAAAATGTTTCATCACTCTGACATTCTAGAAGCTTTTCTATTCACCTTTTGAACAAAGCTAAAAAGCAAGAGTGGTGTTAATGTATGCACAGCATAGTTAAATGGGAAAGCATTAAGAATACCACAATTAGTTTCTCAGTAAGATCAGTAAATACAGAGGTATTGAATCGCCATCTAATTAAGTGAGCAAGTATATTATCTGCATTTATATTATAGCTGCATTACAAGCATAACAAGTTTTTGCTAATGCTTTGACTAAGTATTTCAGCTTTATTATGTTCTAAATAATTAGTTTCTTTGTCTAAGGTATCTGTTAATACCATTGGAGCTCCATGTTTATGCAATGCAGTAGGTTTGTGTTTACTTTGCCAGTCAGTGAAGGGTAGCTATTATGGTAGCCTCAGCTTGTCTTGGTCCATCTAACTCTTGTCTGTAAATCTATGGTGTCCCTCCCTGCCCCTTTCTGAAAAACACCTAAATTGAATCTTGACTATCTGAGGCAACAGACTTGAAATTGAGGAATTTAGCATGAGAAATCCCTTTCCTTTGCATCCATCCTTGTGCACAGTGATCATTCCAGGAAAGCCATTTCACTTCAAGTTTTTTATTACTTTTAAACAATTTTTAAATGTCTAGTGCTAATTCTGTTATTTTCAGTTGTTTTACAAAGTTTGATAATTTTCAAATTAGTACTTTCTAATTTTTTTAGTATTTCCTAATTACTAATTTCAGTCATTTGAAGTTAGCATTTGAAAAGTTAATAGCGTTTTGGATAGACTGAGGAAAAATACTACAGTAACTGCAGTATTCCAGCTAACTGTCAGATTCTTATGAATAAGTGACAGTCTGGAATGGCCAAAACAAGCTACTACAAAACAAGCTGGCAATACTTAAATCTCTACCTTAGGGGTTCTGTTGGTGCCTGGCAGGCAGTTATGATATTTCATGGTAATGTGTGGTTACTGCAAACCTTTTTCCTGCGTTCTTATGGAAAACAATAGTTGTAGACCTTACTGTCTACTTTTCCATAATTCATTGGAATTTTCTTTCCTTTCCTTTTTTTTTCCCTTTCCTTTTGTTGTTGTTGTTGTTATATATGGCTCTCAAGTTTTTGTGGCCAGGGTCAAGAGGTCAGAACAGGAAAAAAATGCATTATTGAGGCTTGGCCTAGAAGTGACCAAAGTGCATTAAGTGTATGTGATGCATTGAAATACCATAGAGATTTGGAGTTGCGTAAGAATTCATTCCTGTATGATTTGTCAGTGTGGTTACAATGACTTCTGTAAAAAGCAGGCTATACCTGAATTCAAATGTATAGGTATATATTTAGCTTCAGCTTTTTATCTAGCAGACTCCTCTGCCCTTCTAATTCTGGGGTAAGCCCAGCCCTCTGTTCTATATGTTACTTGTGCACATCCTATCCTGTGAAAAAATATATAGTTTCAAAAGCTGTGCATAAATGTTCATGCTTTTGTACTTTGATAGACCATGCATCTACTATTGAGGTCAGTGTTTTCCATTTACCCTTTTTCTAGCATGGGATATTTCTAGGATCATAGTTCGTGAAGCGACTTACAAACAAAGTGTGCTAGAAACAGTTTGATCTTGGTGTATGTTGTAGTGTATCTTGGTGTAGTGACCATGGCACATAGAGCCAGTTTCTCCTTTCTGACTGTAATGCCCTGTTTCGAGGATGGGTTATAGGAAACCCTTTGAATTGTTCCTTCCCCATTGGTTTCACAAACAGGTCAACAACAGTTTTCCTTTTGTTAATTGGAACAACAGTGATTCAGCTCTCCATTTCTTCAGGTTTTTTTCTCTGTCTTCTTTGTACTTTTCCTGTCTTCCTCATTCACATGCCATTGTATGAGTAGCCAGTAGAAATGATTCCTACTTAATAAAAACAACCAAAAAAAGGCCTTTTCTCTTAAAATTTAGTTAGTCATCCCATTGCCTTCGATTTTGGCAACACAGTATGTGAAGTTCAGTTATTAGCAAGAACATAGCCCTTGTATGCACAGTCACATGATGTGGCCTCTGTGTAGGGTCATGTTTAGGTTCTCTTTGTAGTTCAGTCCAGAGGACTAAAAAGTGCTGAAAGCACTGTTGACAGCAAGATGCCCCAAGGCATACTGATAGCTACATGAAAATAGCCAGTTACTTTGGAAGAGGATTCACAGTTCCTGGCATCTTAAGCTCAGCTTTGTCCCAGACTTAGTGACACAATCTTGGTACGTACTGAGACATCTTGGTGACTGTTTTCCAGGAAGTGAGAACCTCAACTAGCTAATTGGAAGGAAGAGAGAATGTCTTACTTTTTTTAACTAAATGAAAATTTGGAGTATTTTTGTCAACGTGTTATTGTGTAACGTGTTAGGAAGGAGGTGGGCTCTGGTTTAATTGCCTCTTTTGTCTCAGGAGGTTGAGACCTAATGGTTCCAAGAGAGTGAGCTGAGCTAGGCTGGCTGCAAGCTGAGGCTAGGCCTGTATTTCGCCTTGGTTGAAACTATGCCTTTACAGCAGCAAAGAATAAAAAAGATAAGAGTTAGAATAAACCAATATGACTTTATAGCTCTGTAGTAAGAGTGCTTCTGTAGTTTTAGTCCTCAATTCACGCATTTAACTCCATGTTAATTGTAATGTTAGACTACTGTTATTTGTTCCAGCAGAGATCTCACTAAAAAAACAAAGATGCGATACTCTCCCAGAGAAATTACCTTTGGTTTGTTCTAGATTTTTGTCTTGTGCTTCCGTAGTTCTTACTTCTTGTGTTTGTTTGAGAAATACATGTAACTGTGTGTATGAAAGTATACTCATATACATCTGCAACACATATAATTGGAATCCTCAGGTGTACTGACTAAATACCTTTTGCTGTCAAAATGTAAGAAGTAACTATGTTAAATGTCCATGACTGTGGAATTTTTTCACTGAATGTCCATCTGTTATATTATTAGTTCAGTTTAGTTCTGTTTTCTATCCCTCAGTGTATTCTCTTCCATCCCGCTGTGGCAGACTGTGCTGTTGTGGGCCAGGAGGATCCTTTAAAAGGACATGTTCCGTTTGCACTGTGTGTACTGAGGCAAGGTGAGAACTCACTGATACTGATGTCACTAAGATTGCAAAAGTCTCAGAAAAGGTAAAGGATATGACTTTCTTCACCAGGTATAAAGACAGAAAAGAATAAGATTTTGAACGAGATTGTTGAGCGAGTTCGAACTAACATTGGCCCTGTAGCAGCTTTCCAGAAGGGGATGTTTGTGAAACAGCTACCAAAAACACGCTCTGGCAAGATACCACGTTCGGCTCTTTCTGCACTTGTCAGTGGAAAGCCATACAAGGCAAGTTGAAGATGTGTGCTTTAATGAATTAGGTGCACGTGCACAACTGAAGGCACAACGTTATGGTTTTTATTCTCTTGACTGTTCTGTAACTGGTCCATGACTTAAGGTAGTATGTTATATTTTATTTCTACTGTGACGTATCCAAAAGGTTTTTATGCTCCAGAACTTTCCAGATACTTTTTTGTTGATTGCTTTTGAAGGCTAGATTTAGAAGAATCTCTGAATGAAATTTTGTCTACTCTCACATGCTTCTATATATTCTTCCTTTTCAGATAACACCAACCATTGAAGATGCTAGTGTGTTTAAACACATTGAAGAACTGCTAAAGAAAAATTAAATGGGATAATACATCAATAACAAACATTTTAATTACAGAAGTACAAAGAGACTTTCTGTCTGTTAAGATTACCACATTTTAAAAACTAGTCATGATTTGGAACAAAATGTTTTTACTGCAGAAACATTACTGTGTTCTTTACCATCTTGTCACAGCCAGTGACACATAGTAAAGTCTCTGGATGTTGTGAATATATGCTGGTTATTAAGATGGCTAAGAATTGCACATAGAATTAATACATTTCTATAGTCTTAAAGGGGAGGAGTCTGTATGATGTCATGTAACCTTTCATTTCAGTCTGTTTTTGTATAATGTGACCAGTAACTTGAGTTTGAATACAACAGTTTACAAAAAGTAAGTCATGAACTGAGGACAGCAATAAATAGGAATTTAATTGTGAAAATTGTTGAAGACATAAATTGTTCTCACTTGTAAATTAGAAGCCTTTACATCTTTTAAATTTTTCTAAAATTAAAAATTTTAAAATTAATTTTCTTGATTCCACTGATTTCTTTTTCTTCCTAAGACTTTCTGCTATAAATTAGATTCCTATAATTTTTTTACTCAATAACTTTCTGAAATGTCTTTTTTGTAGAATGATAAATAATTTCTGGCTTTCAAATATGTGAAAATCCTCATTTGTCTGCTCAGTAATACACACGATTTTAAATAAAGGCAGGCATTTACTCTTTGCATTTTCTGATAATTTTTTTGTTAAAAAAATATCCTTATGATAAGGGTAACCAGAATGTGCTTTTGCTGAGGTATATATAACCAAGAAATTTAGCAAATACAGATACTAAGCAGCTTATCCTGGAATTTATAGGCCATTTCAGAATAGTTACAAAGTTCTTAACAAGCCAGGGGATGGAGGATACACTCTCTACATACTTCTTAAGCTGATGGTTTTTAATTGAACAATAAAGGTAAAAATGCTTTAAAAAATATACATATACAGAAAAGTTTAAAAGCAGAGAAGTTACTCAAACTCAGCAGTGCTTTCCAGAGGAAGAAACAATAAGCAATACATAAATTCAGATGATGTTGGTATATAAGAGAGGTCCTCAAAAGAGTCCAGAAATACTGTTGTGTGCTGGTGGATAGGATTAAGGATGGTATCCCTGTAAAGTGATGAAATAAACCAACAGATTGATGTAGGACATAAAAGGTGATAGATAGGTGCTGCTTACTGTGAGCCATACCCTGATGGTGCCTTGTGCCTGTGATCTTTTGTAGAATTGGTGAGCTCTACTAGTTGCATAAGAACTATGTAAAATGTTCCTGTGTTTTTTCACTTGGGACTGCATACAGCACAGCCAGTCATGTTGAAACAGGTCATACAGTCATATAATAAAACAGCCTCGTTTGAGTCTGTGCTGTACTTGTTTTTTGCCAAATCATTGTATAAGGTAGCCCACCCCAACCCTGCCGCCTCCGCTCAGTTATTCAATTTAGTTGAAAATCTCAATCTGAACAGAGGGTAAAACATGTTGTGAGAGACTGGACTGTAAGTGCTAATGGCTCTAAGAATCAGCAGGGTGCTTTGCTAACGGTGCTGTACTTCTGGGGCAGAATAACTTTAGCTTTGGTCACAAGATCTGGCTCATTCTTTTCCCCAACATATCTCATTTAACCCCATCCCCTGAATTTTAGTGTGGGCTGTGGCAATGTGGGCTGCAAAAGAAATTCTGTAAAATCTGAGCGGGTGTTACAAGGAAACGTGTATTCATATGATACTGCAACCACTGCCAGTGGTGTTTGCATTGTTTTACTTTGTGATATTCTGCGCTAAAATAATCCAGAAGGAGGCTGAGGGAGGAGGGGGAGAAAGAACATCAGCAACGAGGTCAGTCAAGCCCGAGGAACTGTATTTACAAGAGCCTTGGCTTTATATAGTTATAACCCTGCCATTATATCACACCCATCAGTAAGTTCACTGCTCCCTCTCGTGGCGGATTCTGACCGTAACTCCGTCGTGACTCATACCTGTTAGTGTCAAAATGTGTTTATGCGTGAGAAACATCTGGTTTCCAAATTTAATGCTCCTATGTACCAAGCTTAATAGACTTATAAACACAAATAGCACTGAATTCTTTTTTTATTGACATTGGGGGAGAAAAATTTTTCACCATCTGATTGACTGAAGTTTGCCAAATGAAAATAGACAAAACAAATGTTTATGTACGTGCAAACATTGCAGATCAAACTGCTTAAAGAAATAACTAAAAGACAGGTCTTGAGCTAAGATCAAGCAGCAGAAAAATAGCAAATAGGTAAATGACTATTAAGTAGGTCTTACTTTGAAACTTCCCATTTAAACAAAGAATAAACAACAATAACACCACCAAATAAAGCCACAGCAGGTAATAGTTGCTCTTCTAAACTTTTATACATTATATATTAATCACTCTGTCTTTCAGTTATTTCCTCTGATAAAACTGACTTCTGTGAAGTCTCAGCAAGGCCATCTTGGCTAAAAGCGTAACATTAAACAGGAGCCTAATGCCCTGTTAGAATGAAGAAATGGTGGGGTTTGGCTTCTCTTGTCTTTCTTTTTCTTTGTTGAATATATCTGGAAACGAGAATCTGATTCTATGCAAATATTAGATTTACTTTTCCAATGCTGGCTGGTGTTTCAAGATCCTGGAACGAAAAGGTGGCTCTTGGTAAAGCAAGATTCTTCTTGGTCCACAGGTAACATAGAAGAAAGTTTTTGGTTTTTTGTATAAATCATGTTTTATTAAATTGCCTTTTTTTTTTATAAACAGTTCTCCTGGGTTTATTTATTTGTTTTTAAGAGGTGAGCCATCATGATGCTTCTCTATAGATATCTGACATCTCCATTTTGTCTTTAGAGGTCCATTTTGGCTCCAGTTCCAGGTTATGTATTCTCTTATACATCATCAGAGGCAGGTGTTCAGCTTTTAATATTGACAGATTTTTCTCAGTAGGAACGTGTTGAAGCTTCTAACTCTGCTAAACATATTCATTTGACTGTTACAATCCAAAAACTGTAAAAATGGTGGAATGGAAAGATACAAACAGTATTATTGACACTGTGTTGTCAAATGTTTGCACTGAGACCCCATGTACCATAGATTTTATTTTTTAAAAAATCATATTTATATCCATTTACATAAGACTTACACATTTTAAAAGAAATACATACACAGTAAATACGTAAATGTCTAGTATTTTACAATAAAACAGATGGAACAATGTAAAGATGAGTGGCTTCATTTGATAAAAGCTTTGGATGTGCACTACTGCCAATTTTTTGATGACAGAGATGCTGAGAGAAAAAAAGGGAGGTTGTTTTGTTTTCCTTTTTTTTATTATTATTTTTTTTTTTAGTAATTTAGGTATTTTTTATTCTTATTTTAAGTTAACCAGTACATGAAAGGAACATCATATGTGTTTGTCTGATAAACTTTATGTATTTTCTTCCCTATTACCCTGTTCTTGCAGAAAGTTTTAATGCTCTTTTTGTAGGTAGTGATAGTGCACTTCAAGTAAAGTAGAAGAAAGAGATGACATCTAAGGGGAAAAAAAAATAAACATTAATTAGTGATGTTCTTTGTTTCTAATTTCGTCTAGGATGCAATAACAACAGAAAATATATCACTAACCGCTGTTGCATGTTTTAGTAAAACATGGTCTTTGATTATCTGTGGGAGGCATGCATTTGTTTAATTTTAGATCTGCAACATAGACCTATTAATAATGAATTTTAATATTTTACTAATGTATACTGATTTTTGTCCTAGATCAAAATAGACTGCTGCTTATGTTCATTTTATAGTTGTTTTCTTGCTGTTTTAATTCAGCACTGGAGTTAGTTTCCTGCATCTGGATATCTTTGCCTGTTTGGCACAAGGTTAAACACACATTTTCAGTGTACAGACCTTGCTGGTGTACTTTGTGGTTCTCCTTCCTAGTTCACTGCAGCTCAACAGCATTTACTTTTTTCACCCTGATGATTTCTTTGCTATGGACCAGCTGCTTCCAGATTATCATTCACATCTTTTTGGAATGCTGCTTCCCCCTTTGTCTTTACAAATCCTCTTTGGAACCCTTCATTGGTAAAGCACATTGTTAATTTTGCCAAATCCCCTTTAATATTTATTAGAATAGAAGTGAAACTAGTATGTTCTATTGCCTCAGCCAGTGGCAACAAAACTGTCCTGACTGAGCCTTCTGACTTGGGAAAGCTTGGACAGTGTGAGTGCCAAATACGCTGGCTGTGTGGTGTTGCAGATACTCAGCTGGGCAACATACAGCCAACCACAGCAGAAAACTTTCTGCTCTGTGGTAAACTTTGCAACATTAAATGGCCAGCATCAGCAGTCTTAATTGTTCTTAAATTTTTGATACTGAGGTTGCACTGGAACAGGGCTGCTCACAGTATGCTCATGTAACTGTTCTGAGATTTCTGGCAGCTTGTCATGGTTTCAACAAATGTTTAAAAAAACCCACCTGAAATGCAATTCAAAAGCATATGAGTGAGACACAGCTGCTGTGAAGAAACACTGTAAGACACTATAAGGTTGTATCTAATTGGTATTGTTGGTATAAATTATTTTGAAATACAAGGCTTTGACATTCTCTGTAAGGGAGTATCTCTGTAAGAGTAGCAGAATGCAAGAATCTGCAGCCTGCTGTGATCATAGGCCATGAGCATTTTTTCCACATGCAGTCTGTTTGCAGCTCTCTTTTCGACCTGCTCTTTGTAGGCATATTCCCCTTTATTATATTAAAATTTTTTTTATATCATTGTGTGACAGCTCATCCAGCTGTCCCTGCCCTCTGCTGCTTAGTTAGAATCAGTCCCTGGTTCTATGCATGCAGATATGTTAGTCACCAGAGTAACACAGCTGCTGATGGTGCAAGTCGTTACAAGTCTGGTCTCAGTCTAAGCTGGATCTGGAAAATTTCAAGAAGCATGTTGTAATGAATAACATTTCGTTTTGTCCAAGTATCAATCAGTTCCTTCCATGAAGAAACTGTTACCCAGGAACTATGATCACAAAATTCTGAAAACTCCTCTGTTGTCCTTTAAGCTCACATCCCCCACATGAGCAGTTCTTGTTTATGCATTCATCTTTGAGATGCAGGCAATTTCTTTAAATTTTGAAATTTGATATAATAGTGCCAGAAAAGTCTGTTACTTTACTTCTGGTTTTCATTTGCTACTTTTTTGATGATTTTTAATATAGTGGGAATAAACAGTTTGGATAATCTTAATTTTTGCTAGCATATCAAATTTCAGTTTCTGCCTTTGTTGAACTCTTCAAACCTCACCTCATGTGCCTGGCTCATTACTGTTGGCCTAATATAGCTTGGTATTTGAACTTAATTTCTTGGTCATACCTTATTGCTTTCAGCACACAATTCTGAAGCACATGGAAGAAAATGTATGCACCTCTGCTGTCACCACACTCTAACCTATACGTACGTACACAGAAAAAGATTTCTGTAATTTATGTGCTTCATCATCATCTTTGTAGGACCAGCTGCTTAACTTACCTTTAAAAAAAAAGACAAGAAACTAAAAACCCCACCCCTGGTGATTATTTTTTCAGTGGTGGCATGGAAAGTTCCCCTTTTTAAGATTAAGGCTTTATACTCTTGCAGTCTCCTGAACATCTGTGAACTAAGGCTCCTGTCATCAGTAGGATCCTGAGCAATCTACTGT